CGAACGCGAGGGAGCTGTCGCGTTCGCGAAGAAGAAACGCCTGGACAAAAACTTTAAGTTCTGAAAATGAGACTTTGTTTCATTTTCCATTTTTGACAAATTGGAGCTCGGGAAGAGGCGGTTTTCAAGGAAAATAATGGGGTAAGTGTTCCTAAATCAATATTGGTTAAATTACTCGAATCCATGGTTATTTTTAACATTTAATTAGTGAATTAAGTTGGAAAGTTTTGAAAACCCTCTTAGTTTAATTTGAAGATTTGAGGGTCGAGTTGATGTCGGAATTTGATAAAATTTGTATGGTTGGACTCGTGGTTGAATGGGCATTCATATTTTATAAATTTTGTCGGGTTCCGAGACATGGGCTCCACGGAAGATTTTGAGTTAAAATTCAGATTTTGTTGGAAAATTAGTATTTTCATATGGAATTAATTTCAATAATTGGTATTGACGGAATCAAATTAATTGTGACTAGATTCGAGGCGTTCGGAGGCCGATTCGTAAGGCAAGGGTATAGCAGAGTAAAGAATAACATGGTTGAGGTAAGTAACACTTCTTAACTTGGTTCTGAGGGTATGAATCCCCGAATTTGGTGTTATATAAATTGTTTGGAGGTGACGCACACGATAAGCGACGAGAGTGTGGACGTGCACCATAGAAATTGTGACTTGAATAAATTCTGTGAAGTTGTAAAAATTAAAGAACCATGTTATTATCCTAATATTCTCCACGTGTTAGGAAATTGAGTTGAGAATCGTATTAAAGATCATGATTAGGCTACTTGCCCATATTTTGGGACCCACAAGGTCGTATTGATGTTGAATATAATTGTTTTTAAAATGCATATTTCTTGCTAAGTTATGTTCATCCATTGTAAGGATATTTATGGGATCGCGGCTGCCCGTCTGCAGCAGGCCATATTGGCTTTATGTATATTATTATTATATGGAACGGGACTGCCCGCCTGCAGTAGGCCTTATAGGCTTTATTATTAGACGGGTCGGTACTGCCCGCCTACAGTAGGCCATATCGGCTTTATATCATGCTTGGGCTGAAGGAGCCCCTCCGGAGTATGTACACACCCCTAGTGAGTGTAGATGACTATATATTCGGGACGGACTTCCCAGGGCATGGATGACTATATATTCGGGACGGACTTCCCAGGGCATGGACTTGCCTTACTTATTTATATTGTGATGAATTTCTCTGGACATGGATCTTATCCGTATCATTTATATTTGGGGATAAATTACCCTAGGATTGGATTGGCCTTATACGGTACTGAGTAACTGACTGTCAATCGATGTGTGTGTATATATATATACGGGGGATGGAATATCCTTGGGCTGTATTGGCTATAAACAGTACCGAGTGACCGAATGATTAGTGACCAGTAGTACATGAGGTCTTTCCACTGAGATGTCATATTCTTCATATCATGCAGTATTGATCTATTTTGCTTGTACTGAGTTTAATTTTGCTTGTATAGAGTTTAACTGTTGAACTTGAAAGCAAGTGTACATTTCTGTACCGTTATTTATATATACTGGACTGTACTTACAGAGCTCATCACTACTTTCAGCCCAGATGTTAGTCTTGTTACTTATTGAGTTGGTTGTACTTATACTACACTCTGCACCTCGTGTGCAGATATAGGTGCTTTCGAATACGACGACTGTTAGATCTCAGAGTGCTATCAGTTGGAGACTATTAAGGTAGCTGCCTGGCGTCCGCTGACCTTGACTCTTTTTCCTTCAGTTTTTATACTGTTCTATACTTTCAGACAGTGTTTTATCAGTCAGACTTTGTATTAATATTAGATGCTCATGTACTCAGTGACATCGAGTTTTGGCACTGTTTATATCTGTATTTGTGAGATTTCTTCAGCTGAATTTAAATATTATATTTTTAAATTTAGAAGATATGATGGTTTGTTGAGATTGTTGGCTTGCTTAGTATTGAGATAGGTGCCATCACGACAGGTGAGATTTTGGGTTGTGACAGATGTTCAGATATGGACCATCTTAAATGGTTCAAAATTTGATACTTTACTCTAGCCCTTGAAATTCTAGTATCTCCATACCTTGATGCACATATTGCCTTCAATATTTTCCAACAAATTACAATAGGAGTTATTCTCAGCAATTCTTGATGTAAAATATTTTTGGGCTTAATTGACTACCGTAAACATACCTTTGATAGAGATAGCTTTCCACATGATATTCAAAGGAGTTCCAAATGTATTCCACAAGTCCCTTGTAAGTCCACCAGCCATAAATGTATGTTGAATTGTTTCACCTTATGAAACTCTACAACAACAACAATTAGAAACATAGTTCAGTCTAAATTTGATCAAAACATCATCAAAAGACAATGTCTTCTTCAACGATTCCCAGGAAAAAAAGAACATCTTAAAGGGAAGATGTTTGTGCCATACTCTGTGCAATAAAGCTATTGCATCTTGTATCTGTTTGACTAGGCCCCAGGTTAAAGCTGTAAAGAAAGTTCCATTGGGAGATGGCATCCAAATAGGTGAATCAGAAAAATTTGAATCACCAATACGAATACTTAAAATATGCTTTGTTAGAATGCAATTGGTCAAACTGTTATTTGCCATCAACAATAATATCTCTTACAGGTTGTCCTCTTGGTGTGTTCTCATAGGAGATAATCTGAACTATCACCCCCATACCTGTTCAATTATCCTACCAAAAGCTTGAGTTGCGAGCATTAATCTTCCAAAGTAAGTTCTCCTCAACTTTTTCCTTTATTTGAAGCATTTTTTGCCAACAATGTGATTTTCCAGTCTTCCAAACCTTCTCGACTTCATGTGCTAACCTACAATATTTAGTGTAGAGGAAATTGGACCATAGGTTGTCGCAAGTCCTAAATCTCCACCATTTTTTCATAGCTAGAGCATCACCGAAATCCTTCAAATATATGAACCCAATGCCTCCTTCTTCAGTTGGAAAATACATCTTAGACCAAGAGCTCTAATGAAAATTCTGTTTGCCCTCTGAAGTACCCCAAAAGAGTTAAATTTAAAAGTGAAAAAGAATATTAGCAGCGTTGAAGTGAAAGAAAATGAAAAGGAGGGAGTAGAGCAGCTGATCCTGAGTTGGTCCCTTAGAGCTAACATCAATCAGGCCAAGAACAATTTAAATTGAATGAGGAGAAAACACCAGGTCATATCCTTTTGGAGAAAACATGCTTAGCGAGCATGAAACAAACTTCCGTTTGGGTGGTGATCGATTCCCCCATAGGCCATATCCATATTTTGATCATTGGAAGACTCAGATGAGTGAGTCCCATGTTGGGTTTATGACATCACACATGATCTCAAAATCGAAATCTTTGAAAAAATTTATATAGAAATTACTGATACTTAACATGTGGGGGTTTTGAATTTGAATTGATTCCTATAAAACCCGTACGGAGAAAATGATGAATAAAAGGCGTAATATATTGACATCCCCTTAAAGTTGTCCACACTTTTCACTTACACACTTTATCTTACGTCTGTTCTATTTAAACACTTTATAGGCCTTTACTGTGTCATTTAGACATAATGTGCTTACATGGCAAAGCAAGTGTTTCTCACATTTTTCAAGCGTGTGAAACCATCCCAAAAAACAAACTCTACATATTTCTTGCCAGCAAACAAATAGCTTCTGCCGGAAAATTTTCAGGTGAACTTCTCATTTAAGTTTTCAGTATCGTTCACGCGATTATTACCGTATACTTCTTCAGATCTGGGTATACTACTACCACCACCTTTAAATCTGGCCACCACCATAAGCTTCTCATTTTTCTTCTCATTTTTAGATCTGATTGCTGCAATTCTGGCCAGAAGTTTCAACACCGGCAGGTGCTTCTCAGCGGCTACCTTTTTTAGGTTGAGAAAAACAGAAAAATAACTTTTTATTGGTAAAGAAAGAGAGAGCGGCTATAATTTATTAGTCAGGAAGCTTAGAAGCTTCTAAATCTGCAACTTGTTTGATCAAATTCCAGTCACTGTCATCAAGAGCCATTTGAATCGGCGACGACCAAGTCATCAACGATGGCCAGCATAGTTTTCTCATTCCCAAACTCCTGTCGGTCAACGGGGTCATTGTGGTCACAATCGAATTTCTCGAAGATGGAATCATAGAGGCGGATGAGTTCCTCCGGCGAGGCTGCGTCGACGCAAAAGTGAGCCTCTATGAGGCGGAGAGACTCAAACGCTTCGCGAAGTTCGGATCGGGATAAAACGCTGTCCTTGTTGAGGTTCAAATCGGTGAATCCTTTATCGATTGCCTTTGCAAAAGCTGCTTCATCGTTCAGGAAGTCTCAAACTGTTGATCCGTCTATGATCACCACTCCCATTTTGCGTGTGTTCAGCTTCACATTTTTCTTTTCCTTTTTTCAAAAGTTTTTCTTAATTCCACTTGTTCCTATTTTGTTCGTCGATCTGGCGTGTGAATTACACGCAACTGCTGGGTTTGGCTGCTTTTGGCTGCATGTTAATTTTGTGTCTAAATGACATAGTAAAGACCTACTTAAAGTGTTTAAATGAAATACACTTAAAATAGATTGTGTAAGCGTGTGAACAAATTTGAAGGCCTCTATGTATTACGCCTAAAGAAAATGCATGATCTTTAAGCTTTATTCTAGAAGATTGCGTTCATATAGGATAAGGAGCCGAGGAAGTGAACACGTAACACACACTTTCAACAAGTAGAATCAAGATATTATTGTTTATTTATCGGATAATTGATTGAAACCAGAGCACTAGGATGGAAGCACGTAGCTTGTAAAATTAAGTCATCTTCTTTGTATGCAAATATGGAGAAAGGATAGCATGTCCCAGCTGAGGTGTGCATCAGAGTCCTCAACTTTTAGCCTATAATTAGTGAATCAATGCATTCTTTCGCAAACAGATACTCCTTGGTTTCGAGAAGCAGATATTTATAGCAAAACCAGCAGCGACTAACAGTTTGTGTTATAGCTTTCAAGTATCTACATACCAAGCACAAAGAAATGGCGAAACAAAAAGAAAACAGGATGGATTTTTGCGCGCAGGTTGCTGGTCGTATTCTTCTTAAAGAGGTTCAAGAAAGTGTCAATTCTTCTAATAACATATTGTTGTCTCCGCTATCTTTTCACGCCGTACTGAGCATGACAGCTGCCGGAGCAACGGGAGATACATTAAATCAGATGCTTCAATTTCTTGGTGTTAGCGATATTGATGATTTAAATTCCAATTTCTTAGATATGGCTTCTGTCTTTGAGAGCAGAGGGAATAATGGTGGCCCAGATTTGAGCTTCCTTAGCGGAATATGGGTGGCTGATACACATGAATTGAGAGACTCTTTCAAAGAATTAGTCAACTCTGTCTATAGAACTGAGGCAAAAATTGTTGATTTTACATGCAAGGTGGATACCCTGTTTAGTCTTTTGAAGACTTTTATTTTCTTTAATATCTTGTCTTTCCTTCATCTTTTGAAGATCAGTTCACTTTCTTACTTCTGCTGGAGTTTGAACCACTTACTTTCCCATAGTTTTCAGACCAATTTTATGGATCCTAGACCATACTCTTAGGTTCCCATCTCAACCTTTTTACCTTATCTATAAGCTATTCCGTGTACAACACTGAAAACCATAAACTATAGAAAAAATACAGTTCGATGCGCTAAGCTCCCGCTAGATCATGTGCGGAGTCTAAGGAAGGGCCAGACTTTAAGTGTTTATTATACGCAGTCTTATCCTGCATTTCTGCAAGTGGCTATTTTCACGGCTCGAACCCGTGACCTCCTGGTGATCACATGGCAATAACTTTACCAGTTATTGATGAGTTTAGTATGATTTATGCATGAATTTGTGCATAGGAAATGAACACGATGACTTCAAAAGAGCTCTTCCTGCAACATAATGAAAAAAGCGTTGAGGTGTTTGGCCAAGCTATGCAAAAGTTAAGGTGTTTGGCCAAGCTTTTAGAAGGAAAAAAGTGCTTTTGAGGAGAAGCAGAAGTAGATTTTGAGAAGCAGAAAAATGTAACTTCTTTCCAAAAGCACTTTTCTGAGAAGCACTTTTGAGAAAAATACACTTAGAAGTAGTTTCAAAAGCTTGGCCAAACACTAATTACTGCTCAAAAGTGCTTTTCAAATTAATTAGCCAAATACAAACCGATTCTCCCCAAAAGTACTTTTTTGAAAAGCACTTTTGAAAAAAATACTTCTCAAAATAAGCAGATTTTAGAAGCTTGGCCAAACAGGCTATAAGTACGAAAGAGGCATGAGATTTTTTTTTTCTTTTTGTGTGTGTGATTGGCTATTTGTATAATAACTTTGAGGGTCTCCTATCGATAAAGCCTTGTTATCGAGGGACGTCCTTCGATAATCCGCGTCGGTAAAAGTGGGATTTTAGTAGTGATATTAGTGTTAATTATCTCTAAAACACAATCTTTCTATCATATTTATCCTCCAACTTGTATTGTTAATATGTTGTTGGCATGAGTAAATTTGTTTTGATGATTGACAAAGAAACAAACGCATGAACCAGATTTATATACAGTGTATACAGACACATACAGATTCGAGCAAAAGACATGTACGCGAGGGAGATAAACATAAATGGTTATACTGAATGTCTCCTAAACGAAAATATTGTATATTTGATAAGGAGCAGGACTCCTTACTCGAAGAGAACTCTATCCTAGATAAGGGAGGAGTTAGAAGTTGAAGATAACTAGAACTCTTCTACCAAGGAAGAGTATATTATTAGAACTCTAGTTAATTCTATTCTACTAACTCAATAAATATTAGTTTGTTCTCTTCTACAGGTAACACACAAATGCAGAAGTTAAGCAAGAGTTGAGAGCAAAATAGTAAGGTATTTTACAAGCAATTCCTGTGGGATTCAAGTGTGCGAACCTGAAGCTACATGAACTAGATAGAAGAACCAGTTCCATATGTCTGCCTTTTATTCTAGTTTCATTGTAGTAGGGCTTTTGAGTTGTACCTTTCAGCTTTATCTAGAAGCATTTGCACTAGGTACTCTGAGTGTTGTATTCAAGTTAGAGTTAACTTGAAGTTGTTGCAACAGCTTGAGGCTGGTTGCCACAAAGGGTTAGAGTTAGGTTTACAAGTGTTTTGTAAACGCTGTTTTGGCTCAGTGATTTAGTGAAGTGTTAGAAAAAATTCTACTGGGTAGTAGGTCGTGGTTTTTTACCTTTTGAACCGGGTATTTTCACGTAAAAATACTTATGTTCTTTACTTTCTGTATTTATTATTCCACAATAGTAGTATAAGGAACACATAGAAGAACCAGGTCCTTCTATAATTTGTGCACGTGAAAAATTGGACACCACACAAATCACCTCCCTCTTGTGTGGTATTAAAGTATATAACAACAATTGGTATTAGATCAGGTTATCCTTGAAGAGTCTAACATCTTAGGAATATATCAAAATAAGTGCACTACCTGAAAACTATAAAGAGCAATCTACCACTAGGCCACCACTATCCAATGGCCACTATCACTTGGAGATGATTGATGGATGTTTCAAATGTGGTAAATCGAACCACATGATCAAGAACTGTCCTATGTGGGAAGTCGAGTGGAAAGAGAAGAGATTTAAAAGAAGGAACCGGGAGAAGGAACAGGTTCATGATAAGAAGAATTACAACAAAAGGCCATCTAAAGCAATAGTTGCTACTTGGAAAGAGAGTTCAGATGAGGACAACGATGATAATAATGCAGAACGAGCTCTTATGGCAATTGAAGAATCTATAGATAAACCTGATGAAGAATCTTAGATAAGTTTTCTAGACCTTAAAAAAAAAATTCCTTTCTAAAGATAGACTATCATAATTGTTGCTAACTTTAATTGATGAATCTAAGAATATAAGTTTTGAAAAAGAACAATTATCAAAAGAGTGTAACATTTTAAAAGCAAAATGCATAAACCTGGAAATTAGGGCTTGTGAAACTGAAAAAGAAAATACTGTTTTGAAGAACCAGGTTCATGCACTTGACACAGTTGTCTTAGAACTTAGATCTAATAATCTGAAATTGAAGTTAGGAACAGGTAAATAAATATCTAGTGTCACACAACTCATACTAGAAAAAGATTTAGGAAAGGAAAAAGATGCGCAACACAAAAGGGATGAACTGATAGGATTTTTGAACGAGGACTCGACAAAGGTTAAACATGAGCTTGATAGAACATGTAAATGGAACAGGTCATTCGATACACTTTCATAGCTACAAAAATACCATAGTAGTAATAGAAAGGGACTTGGCTTTGAAAACTCTGCACCTAAGTGGGATCCTAAAAGCAAGTACCTCATACTCTCTAAGAACAAGATCTGCACACACTGCAGTAACACTGGTCACTATAAGAGTGAATGCGCTGCAAAAGAGAAGGCAAGTCAAAAGAACAAAAATTTCGTTCAAGGGAAAAATAGGCTGCCAAGTTGGGCTAAAAAGAATTTGATTCATCCTTTTTCCTATAGAAAGGGACCCTAACTAGTTTGGGTTCCTAAGACTAACCCATGATTTCTTTTTGCAGGTCCAAGTGAGGGGGAGCAGCCAAATATGGTACATGGATAGTGGTTGCTCAAAGCATATGACATGAAGCAAGAACCGATTCATTTCACTTGAGGAGTTTAAAGGAAGTAATGTGATGTGATTCTTCGAGTTAACAATGAACCAACCGACCAGGATCAAGATCTTGAAACAAAAACGTGGTTTGTGGGTCGATTTCAAGAAACAACTTATCTCAAGTTTTAGGACTCGAAATCTGATGATTCAAAAATGCGGTGAAACATGACGATCTGAACTATAAGAAAGATTATTTACTCATTCAAAACAAGTAAATATTGATGCTGCACCAGTTCAATAAAAGTTATGATTTTATGATATCAAAAGAATGAATTTAGATCAAGAAACATGTTCTTGAAATATTAAGAACTAAAAAAGTTCCTAAAGTCACCACTTGGAATCAATTAACGTGATAAAGAAACACCACACGCAATTGAAAACAAGATAAAAACTATCACCACCTTGCTTGGAACCAAAAACAAGGATAAAGAAGACAAAATAGAGAAAAACTCTCTATTGTAAAACTAGGGCAAGCCTAGAAAACGTGAATTCTACTCTATAAAGGCATGAGAACCTTTTATATAGGCCTATGATCTCTTCTTTGATAACTACAATTTCTATTCTAATTAAGAAATAAAATATCTAAAGACAAAAATAATAAAATCCTTATTCTACAAGGAAAAGAAACTAGAATCCTACTAAAAGAAAAATTCTTATTCTAAGAGGAATAGAATAAATCCTATTTTAAGAAGGAAAGAATCTTGGATTCTTGTAATCAATCTTGAGCTTCTTGGACTTCTTGTGCTTCTTGAAAATAAGTCCATGTTTGGACTTGAGCTCTAAAATATGATCTTGGCCAAAATTAATAAAATTTAACATAGATTCTTCTTTTACATCATAATGTCTCCTTCGAAAATGGAAAGAAAGGTGAGATCATTGGGGTTGGAAAGGTAGGTAAGAATAATGAGAATGTCTACCTGATAGATAGACTGAAGTACAGTATAATAAGTGTATCACAATTGTGTGATATAGGTAACATGGTAGCATTCACCTCTACAAAATACTTTGTGATTAATCTTACCACTAACAAGATAGTTTTGCAGGGAAAAAAGTGAACAACATATATGTGGTGGACATGTCCACACTTTCAGATAATAGACTCATTTGCTTAAGTGTGTTGGACAATGATCCTCTCCTTTGGCACAAGAGACTTGGACATGCCAGTTTGAGCCAACTCAACAAACTAGTCTCGAAGGACTTAGTGGTAGGGTTGCCTAACATTAAGTTAAAGGAAGATAAAGTTTGCGAGGCTTGTGCAAGGGGGAAGCAGGTAAGATCCTCTTTTAAAAGCAAGAAAATGGTAAGCACTGCCAGAATGATGGAACTGGTCCATATGGATCTCTGGGGACCAATGAGAACATTGAGCGGAGGTGGTAAGAGATATATTATGGTGATTGCTGATGATCACTCTAGGTTTACTTGGACACTATTTTTAAAATCTAAAGATGAAGCATTTGACATGTTCACTTCATTTGTTAGAAAAACTTAGAAACAACTAGGTAATCAACTTACATCAATTAGGTCTAATCATGGTACTGAATTTGAGAATGCTAAATTTGCTGAATTTTGTGATGAGCATGGCATAGATCATAACTTTTTTGCTCCTAGGACTCCACAACAAAATGGAGTAGTTGAAAGAAAGAATAGGACATCAGAGGAAATGGCTAGGACTATGTTACTTGCTAGTAAATTACCTCATAGCTTCTGTGCAGAAGATGTGAACACTGCATGCTACATCATAAATAGGTGCATGACTAGACCTCTTATTGAGAAGACTCCCTATGAGTTACTTAAAGGGAGAAAGCCAAATATATCTCACCTTAGGGCATTTGGATGCAAGTGCTTTGTGCACAATAATAGAAAAGACTCACTAGGTAAGTTTGATCCCATATGTGATGAGGGAGTATTCTTGGAATATTCTTTACATAGTAAAGCTTTTAAGATTTATAACAAAGAACTATGTGTGTAGAAAAAAGTGTACATGTAGTTTTTGATAAAATTAACATTCTTTCTGAGAGGGAGGAACATGATTATAAAGCAATTGGGCTGGTAAGAAACTCAAATAAAATCACAAGCACAGACTAAAGCTGCACCAGAAGAAGAAACTGGTGATGGAACAGCTCCTTCCACCCAGGGCAACCTCACAGGGGGAACTGAACTAAGAGGAACCGATTCTCAAACCTCAAGGGAACCTGTCCATGATCCTGTTCCTCAGCAACAAAACATTAAAGGAACATTTATGGAAAACCAGTTGGTTGTGAAACCTTACAAGTATCAAAGTTCTCATACCATTGAGAACATAATCACTGATCCAACCTCTGGAATCAAAACCAGATCTTTTTTGAAGAATCTTTGTGCTTTTGATGCTTTTTTATCTCTTATTGAACCTAAAAATGTTGTTGAGGCTTTGCAGGATGCATATTGGGTGAATGAAATGCAAGATGAACTCAACCAATTTGAGAGAAGTCAAGTTTGACATTTGGTACAAAGACCCAAGAACAGATCGGTAATTGGCACAAAATGGGTCTTCAGAAATAAATTTGATGAAGATGGAACAATTACAAGGAACAAGGCAAGATTGGTGGTTCAAGGTTATAGTCAAGAGGAGGGCATAGATTATGATGAGACTTTTGCTCCAATTGCAAGATTGGAAGCAATTAGACTCCTTATAGCCTTTGCTGCTTACAGGGAATTCACTCTCTATCAGATGGAAGTGAAGAGTGCCTTACTCAATGACTATCTAAAAGAAGAAGTGTTATTGATCATGTATACATGCTCGATAAGGCACTTTATGGGATCAAGCAGACTCCAAGAGCATGGTATAAAATATTATATAAATTCTTGCTTGAGCATGGCTACAAGAGAGGTAAAATTGACAATACTTTATTCTTGAAAGAAAAAGATAAAGATCTCTTGGTAGTTCAGATATATGCTGATGATATAATCTTTGGAGCAACTACAAATAAGCTAAGTAAAAAATTTGCTAAGCTAATGGGGAATAAATTTGAAATGAGTATGATGGGTGAGCTTAATTTCTTCTTATGCTTACAAATTAAAAAAAAATCAAATGGAACTATGATTCATCAACAAAAGTATGTGAAAGAGCTGCTTAAAAGGTTTAAAATGGAAGACTCCAAAAAAATTGACACTCCTATAGCAACAGCCACAAAGTTAGATATAAATGAACCTGGTTCATCTGTTGATCAGAAGATGTATAGGGAAATGATTGACTCTTTGTTATATCTCACTGCTAGTAGACCTGACATTGTTTTCAGTGTAGACCTTTGTGCTAAATTTCAGGCAAATCCAAAGGAGTCTCACT